TTATCAGTTTTAGGCAGTATTTATCACTCACTGTTAGTGCATATATATTCCTTGTTTTGAGAACTGATAATTACACTCATTTTGAGTGATATCACTCCTCATCTTTAGAACTTCCTGTTCCTCACTCCAGGACGCATTTTTAAGAAAAAAGTCCTTAATTCAAGGTATCTGGAAACATACATTACAAACTTAACAGTGCTCTAATAACATACGCATACACAGTGCGAGTTACACCAATGAAGAAACAGCATATCGATTGATTGAACTTATGCTTGAGCTTCTTTCGCTGCAGTTCCCACTTGTGAACCATTTTCCAACGTTGATACAGCTGCAGGAATACCAAACAAGTCACTTTACGAGCAGTCGGCCGTGAGCGACACTTCGAAATCGGACTATCGGCGAGCAGCGACTCGAGACGTTTGAGCCCGCGGTTGAAATTACCAAAAGATCAGCGTTTTAAATGTAAAATTTTTATAGTTGGAAAGTTCGTGCGGGTATCGGTGGCATTGCGGTAAAAAGCAAGGTGATCCAAAAGATTTTCTGGATGGCGACGTAGGTGGTTCAAATCTGTCTCTCCCAGGTGATATTCAGTTTTTGCTTAACTTCCTACTTTGTTTTCTTTTTTCTCTTTTTCGGACACAATAATCATTTTCCTGGATGTATACATTTAAAAATAGAAGTATTGATGCCATAAATGAAATATACGCTGCAAGAGATAAAGGTGTATTCGGAGATTGGGCATTTTTTAATTAGTTCACAAATGAAAAACGTATACTTTTTTACTCTTTCAAGATTATCATTGGCTTCTTTTTCACTCCAACACTATTCTTAGCAACAAAGGTCGCCATTTCGTTTGTTTATCTCTCGCCAAAAACTATCAAATACATTCAAAAGCCTAAAATAGAAAAAAGTTTACAGGAATCGACCAGTCGAGCGAGCGAGCGCCATTCATCACACCATTCCTACAACTCGTTTTTGCGCACACGCAATTCACGAGTTAAAAATGAATTCTGCTATCAACCCCCATCTGTGCCCAGAGATTAAAAATTTGTCATGTTGCGAGTAATATCGCATGAAGAGTCGAACAAATTCAAATTATCGGGGTTCAATCGAGCAAGCTTCACGATCCAATTTCACATTTAAGTTCTATATGTATTTGACAAGGAAAAACATCTGAACGAAGTCTTGTGGCATAAGTTTCTCCTCAGAACTTTTTTTCAAATACAGAGGGGAGACCCAATCAGAAAGCAACAATGGTTAGAAGTTACGACGGGCCACCTGCCCAAGAGAAGCGGCGGTTTGATCATCGCGCGGTCCTTCAGTTCCTCTTGGCACACAGGAACATTTGCTGATGAGCGACCTGTTTATTCATTGACTGCTCTCTACGGATATATATTTCAGGAAAATAGTCTCTGTAAGTTTCCAGGGGTCTTTGGACGTCAAATATTGTGCAACTAAAATTAATCTTAGAGAAACATTGGTTAGACAGGCGCGTAGCGTGGTCATTTTTTCAAGTACGCACAAGTACATATGATCTAGAAACCTAAGTAAACTGAGCGAAAAATACCGCGTTCTTTATTTCTTGTTCGAAATAGTTTTATGAATACAAGCAAAGAACAAAGCGTCTCGCCCTTATTTTGAGCAAACTTGGCGCAAACACAACATTGTTTTCAAAATTTTCTGGTCACTTCAAATACGCACGTGCATATATGCGTATAGGACGCTACGCGCCTGTTATAGTTTTCGCATTGAGTGTGCATATTCTTAGGAGTTTAGGTGATTAGGTCAGTGGCCACCATTTAGTGGTTTGCAATTGCTCTTAGACCCTCAAGAGTCTTTTAGTGGCCGTCACTGTTCCACAAACCTTTA